ACTTAAACTACTTCAGTCTGTGTGCATTGAATTTATTTAATACACGAGTTTCACAATTTGAGTTGAATTACTGAAATAAATGAACTTTTCCATGACATTCTAATTTATTGAGATGCACCTGTATATATATAATTTCCCCCCCCAGAAAATACCCACCTGATGTATCCGTTTAACTTGGCCCTCGATGGAGTAATCCACAGCACTGCTGCGGGTAGTACCCTCATGTCCCGGCATGTCAACACACACCAGGTGCATATTTTTAGGAAGAAACTACAAAAGATAAAAAAAATATGCACAGTCAGTCAAACTATTATTTTACTTCATGATCTGATTCATATATTAAGAGCATGTGTTCTTGAGTATCAGTGTCAATCAATAGGATTTATGTAACTATGCTTGTATTTTATGCTTTCGAAATCATGTCACATACAGTACGTGCTCTTTAGGCCATGTGATTTGTTGGTTATTTTAAGTAACGCTTAATTATTTTTGAGCATTTTATATATTTGACCTTTAAAAACACCAAAAATAATCCTTGTTGGTTAAATAGTGAATTGAACTGTTGAGCAACTGTTCCACTGTGGTTTCTTGCCTTGACCACACCGAGCCACATGTCTTTGTGTGCAGAGAAGCCGTGTAACAAGAGGACGGACGGACGGGTGCCTGGAGTCCCTCTGTGAGAGTAACAGAAGCGATATCCTTCATATTCAGCATAATCCACCTGCATTCCCAGCCTTCTGCGCCAATACCTGTAGAACAAATCACCAAAAAGAGTTACAAATGAAAAAAAGGCACTGTAAAACAATGCTGATGCTTTGCTGTTAGCATGAGAGTTGTCCAAAATGTAGATGAGTTTACTTGTTCATCATTGAAACAGATTTATAGAAATTGCACATTACATCATTTGCTCACCAGTGGATGCTCTGCAGTGAATGGGTGCCGTCAGAATGAGAGTCCAAACAGCTGATAAAAACATCACAATAATCCACACGTAATCCACACCACTCCAGTCCATCAATTAATGTCTTGAGAAGTGAAATCTGCATGTTTGTAAGACTATGTATCATTAAGACGTTTTAACTTTTAAATAAGATGTTTAAACCGTTGCTTCCAGCTAAAATATGAGTCCATTATCCATAATATTGCTTTCTCCAATGAAACAGTCATCTAGAGAAATCTGCACAGATCATGCACCATTTACATGTCAAAACAGTCCAAAACACTCCTAAACAAATATGTGGCTGGATTTTGATGCGAAAAGACAATAAGAGATGGAGTTTTTCACTGGAGGAAGCGTTATTATGGATTGTGGACGATTTGAAGTTAAAAGCGCACTAAAAATTTGGACTTATTTCTGACAAAACATGCAGCTTTTGGCTTCACAAGACATTAACTGCTGGACTGGAGTGGTGTGGATTACTTGTGGATTATTGTGATGTTTTTATCAGCTGTTTGGACTCTCATTCTGACGGCACCCATTCACTGCAGAGCATCCATTGCTGAGACACTGATGCAATGCTACATTTCTACAAATCTGATGAAGAAACAAACTCATCTACATCTGGGATGGCCTGAGGGTGAGCACATTTTCAGTAAATTTTCATTTTTGGTGAACTATTCCTTTATGCTACGCCTTATAATTAATGTCTGGAGCAGAAATGCACTAAACATATATTTTAGAAATAGTAATAGTGATGCTTGACGTGGCCAACACCGTCATAAAACGCTTGCACGAGTTCATAAACAATCCAGAAGTGACATTGAAGGAATCAATCAGTCTTTCCGGCCCAGAGGCAAACAGCGGTTCTGATGACTGTGTCATGTAGAGCAAAGTTTGCCTCCCAGATATTACGAGAACCAAAGTCTACTGGGCAGCTTGCATAAGATTCCACTGACATCAGCACCTAATGCAGCACTGCATGTACCAGGCTAATGCACACACACACACACACACACACACACACACACACATTTAGCTTACTGAATGCATTATTAAAAAACTAAAGCTATATGAATTAATGGCATGCTGTAAATATGTATTGTGACATGGATTGTGAGCTCTTTGCAGTGACTAACCCTTCACCCAGTTTAGTGGCATGAAGTAAAAAAAGAGGCCGGTTAAACAACCCGCCCGTCATCAGATAAGAGACGTGTTAAATAATCCAAACCTGAAAAAGCAGTCATGAGAGATTAGCAAGAAACCACACACTGCAAAAAATGATTTTCTTACTTTGATTTTTTTTTAAATTCTATTTTGTTTTTGTCTTTTCCAGTACAAATGTCTAAACTTAAATCAAGATAGATTTACTTGAGAAGCAAAATTACTTTTAAGATGTTAAGTTTTCTGAAAAATGTATCAAAATTAAGTGAGTTTGTTTAAAACAGGAAAAATAAAAAAAATCTGTCCATGCGATAATAAAAATAAACTTAATTCAAAGGGAAAATAAGTTTCTTTTTTTTTACCCCATGGACAGATTTTTTATTTTTATTTTTTTTAAGAATAAACCCACTTAATTTTGAGAATGTTTAGCTGATAACAAGACTTTATATCTAAAGCTGTTTGGGTTCTCAAGTAAATACATCTTCTTGATTTAAGATTATTTAGATTTTATAAATTTTATTTCATTTCAGAAAAATGTTAACTGAAATAAAATAAAATATAAAAAATTTTATGTAGTTGCCAAGGCAATAACGTTTAGTTTAATTTGATGTACTAAATAACTTAAAACTGAAGTAAAAATGAATAAAAACTATACAGATATATTTATAAAAAAGTTTTAACTAAAATGAAAATGGAAAACATAAAAATAAAAACTAATTCAAAATATTAAATTTTTAATTTTTAATAAGGATTATTATAGTTAAATAAACTAAAACCATAACATTTTTTATTTGAAATAAAAATAAACAGATGCCAAAGCAACATTTCTCAACATTTAACTTGATGTACTAAAATAACTAAAACTGAAATAAAAATTTATAAAAATTAAAAAAAACTATTGACATACTTAAAAAAAAAAACTAATAAAAATGGCAAAAACACAAAACTAAATTACTAACACTTTAACTAAAATTAAAATAAAAACAGAAAATATAAAAATACAAAATAATTTTCAAATATTAATAAAAACCACCATAGTCTTTCAATGGTACTAAAATAACACTCATTTGTATTAAATTAGACATAAATACTAAATGAGAAAATAACACCATAGCAACCGCATAGTAAGACCCTGGAAACAACAGTTTCATTATAGTGGTGTTTTTTCCACATATCTGATGTGTATGGTGTCGCTAATGGCACAAAAAAAGACATGTTTCATCTTTTATCTTATGGTTTGGTCCCTGTGATCTGTGTAACTGTCGCTGATTGCAATGATAAGGCTTTTAAAATAAACAGAGTGTGATTTTTTCTTGTTTAACGGCAGCATCAAGTGTTGAAATGCTGAAATTACTCCCCAGAGTGTCTGTACTGAGCAATGCAGGTCACCTGCACATGTTTTTCCTTGGACGAATGAACTCTTAGTACATGCTGAAATTCAATTTAAGCATCTAGAGAGCACTTACCAGTGATACACTTTAATGAGAGCTGCAGGCCAGAGCAGGAAGGAGGCTACAAAAGCCAGGATGGGGATCGCCAGCGTCCCGCCGGCAATGATGAACATGTTCACCACGTCCAAATCCATCCTGTTAAACAACACAGCAGTGAAAAGTCACATAAGTCTGCATTTTTGACACGACCTCTTGACAGAAAGCCTTTAATATAGTAGAACAGATTATATAATCTAACCATGTCTGCAAGATATTTTTAAGCAAGAAAAACATAAATGTGTTTGTGCATGTATATACAGCTGGGACCAGCAAATAAAAGTATATATTTTTGGCGATTTATTAGGTAAAGCAATACTAAAATAAATCATTAACTTATATATTTACACTTTTATATTTATACATAATATATGTATGTATATATAAATATAATATAATATATATATATATATATATATATATAAAACATAGGATATAAATGTAATTTTAAATAATATATTACATAACATTAAATTTAAATAAATACATAATCTAGATTATTTGTGCTGAGTTATTTGCCCTCATTCGTAGACCTTAATATTTCTCTAGAATGAATTAATCAATACATATATAAATTTAAAGCATTAAAACAGAAAGGACATATGTAAAACAATATTCAATATTTAGAACACGTGATACACTTTCATTTTTACTACAAGCATAAATTAATGACACTCAGATCTCTTGTTACATTGACACATTGTCGCAATGATATAATGTTAAACTGGTAACTTAATGTAACATTGCAACATCAGATCTGTCATTCTGTCATGTGATCAAAGATCTGAGCTTGAATACATAATGAAACGCGTTTGATCGCAAGATTCTATGCAAATGTTCTTTAAATATATCTGTTATTAGTTAGCATACCTTTAAATGTCTGTAGAACGTATGACTGTATCGTGAAGAAGACCGATCAAAGCCGAGTCACGTCACCCTTTGATCCGCGGCGGAGCTGCACACCAGAAGCCCGTTCACCGTGAACAGGGAAGCTCGCTCGATTTAAAGGGGAAGAGAGGCGAGAAATAATGTTCTGTCGACAGGAATTGTAAGCGAACGTCTGTCAGGTGCAGCGTGGCGGCTCACACAGCAAAATCCCACACTGAAGCGCATTCACATTTAGAATGACTTGTCTATTGGACAGATGTGTAGAATTAAAAATATAATTAAATAAATTATTAGTTTAGCAGTTTTATGTCTCATATAAAAATTCAAGTCGACCAGCAGGTCTTATCTAAGAAATGAAACGGCTGTGATTGGTCCATCATGACAAGCGATGAGAAATGTAACATGTATCACCTGACACGAACATATAAAGGCAACTTTCATAAGCGGCACAAAAGCAAAATGATTATGTCGTTATCTTTTACATTTTGCAAGGTAAATATTACATTCATTAAAAAAAAAAAATTTAAATGCATTCAAAAAATGTAAAAGTAAAATGCATTCCAAAATGTAATTAATTTTTATTAGAAATTGAATCTCTGAAAGAGTCTCTAACGCAAATTAATAACAAAAAGAATGACATACTGTTAGATTTCATGGAGGATTTTTTTTTCTTGTATAGTTCCCCCACTGTAGTCCTTGATTTTGTCCTAAGGAAGAAGGAATATAATTTGAACTATTGTTTAGTTGTTTATATGTAAGTGTTTTTATTATTATAATTTTATTTATTTATTTATTTATAAAAAAACGAAATCAGTATCTCTGTGTCCGAAAACGCATACTTCCCTACTATATAGTATGCGAAAAAACAGTATGTGAGGTGAGTAGTATGTACAAATTCATAGTATTCGAAAAACAGTAGGTGAAAAGTACCCGGATGACCTACTTCTTCCTCCCGGATTCTGAAGTGTGCATTGGATGGACACTTTACTATCCCATGAGGCAGGGGCGTAGCCATCATTTCAGAAGTGTATCTATATCACAACTGTACATACAATTTATTTTCCTTTTCAATTAAATTTTCTGTTTTTGTTTATTTATGTTTGCATATATGTATTTTTATTCTCATGTTATTTTTATTGTCTGTGTGTTGTTGTTGTCTCTGTGCACTGGAAGCTTGTGACACTAAAACAAATTTCTTGTATGCGCAGGCATACTTGACAATAAAGCTTTTTTTTTTTTACTTCTGATTATGTATGCATGTCATATTTGAGCTTTTGGAATAAACCGTATTTGTGGAAGTATATTTTGTATGTTTTATTCTTTCAATTTTACAAAAAGGAATATAAGGAGTTGTTTTGTGATGAGGTAAAATAGGTCGAAATATTGACTTTTCTGTAATTTGTTAGCTAAAATAAGTGAAAAGGTGAAAAACTTAAAAAAAATACTCTTTCAATTTAATTTGTTTCAACTGATTTTCCCCCTTTTTCCCTTATTTTTTTGTACTTTCCCTTTATCTTTTCCATATTTCCCCTTTCCCCCTTGTTTTTTTTCTCATTTTTTCTTTTCCCCCACCCACTGCAGTCCCTTTTGCCCCATTCTTGGCTGAGTGGTTAAGGCGTTGGACTTAAAATCCAATGGGGTCTCCCCGCGCAGGTTCGAACCCTGCTTGCAGCGACGGACCAAATCTTTAGTCAGAGCGGGATCTTTAGAATATGAATAAGATTCTCAGAATCAGAAAGAGCTTTATTGCCAAGTGTGCTTACACACACAAGCAATTTGTCTTGGTGACAGAAGCTGCAGTACACAGACAGGTTGACAAGTGACAAGACACAGATAACAAAATAAAAATGAGTAAAAATAAATATGTAAAAACAATAGACAAAGAAACAGTATATTGTATGTATAGATGTGCTATATACAAATTATATACAAATATATTTGTATATTATATACGAATATATTTGTGCTATATACAAACAAACAGTCAAAGTTGCATAAGAGCTGAATTGTGGAATGATAATGAAGGATCTACCTGATCTTTAAATACATCTGAAAACAGGAATCAACTCATACCTCATTGCGTCAGAATGCAGAACAACATGTGGCCATCAGATGAAGTCAGGAAGTGTTTGGCTACAGTATAATTGAAGGAAGTCCACAGATTTACCTCTTATTCCAGCTGGCAGTGATGCTGAGCGCTCTGATCCTGCTGCTGAACCTCGGAGGAGCTGCGGCTCTCAAGATCTGCTCCTTCAACATAAAATCATTCGGAGAGAGCAAAATCTCCAAACCAGATGTGCTGGACATCATAGTAGAGGTGAGCTTTTTATGTTTCATTTTGCATGCTATTTAATAATTAATGCAAAATTAAAAACGCTTGGATGCTATTTTGAATGTATATTTCATAATTCACTACTTTAAATTGTATTGTGTCTTATTCCTGTTTGAATGCATAATGAACTTCATATGATTTTATGGAAAAACACTCACCAATGCAAGACTTGGCTGCAATTCCACTCTCTAAACCACTGACTTACTCTTTAAAGGAAGAAAAAGTCATTACATAACAAACCAGATAATATTATGTTTCTAAACATCATTGCATGTTATTATATCTCTAGTGAGTTCAGCAGCTGCGTTGTTTTACTATCTACTGTAGTGTGTCAAAGCAGGAGAACACAGAGGAACAAGACGCTTTGTCGTCTCATTTGTCCCGATTGCTCAGATCTGCCAAGGTCTGAATTCTCCGCTCAACGTACCAAATGTTCAGATTCTGATGACTGGACGAGGATACTTACATTGTGATGTGATTTTCATGGCATTAACAAACAGTGATGAAATGAATTAATTCACATTGTCACACTGCAGAGCATCAGTCGCTGTGACCTCATGCTTGTCCTGGAGATCAAAGATGCAAAAGGAAAAGCGTTTGATCAACTCATGACTCACCTGAACAGGTAAATGCACACCTCTGCTCAAATACAACAGACATTAGGACATTTCTTATAACATGAGATAGATAACCAACATAAAATGTCTAATGAAGTCTTAATGAACACAGTAAAATGACAAACAAAATACTAAATCTTTGCAAAATGTCTCCACAGCAGGTCCAGGACACGAGCAAATGAATTTAGCTCCGTCATTAGTGAGAGACTCGGGAGAAAGTCATACAAGGAGCAATATGCCTTCATTTACAGGTATGTGTAATTTATCAACAAATATGAAATCATTATTAATGTTATATCAGCATGCAAAAACAGGTTCATTTATGTTTATTTAGATGCAAAATGCACGTGGATTGATGGTTTCTTTATATTTAGGATGGATTTTATCTAGAATTTCCAGAGGAAAAAGAAAGGGGGGGGGTGTGTTTGATTGCCACTGAAAACACAAATTGTATGCTGGTTTACTAAGGGCATAGGTTTGATTTTGGCATTGGTGGAGACATAACGGCAGACAGCAGACATTTAATTGTTTGTTTAAAATTATGACTAGGGACAATTTAGTAGTTGCTAGATATTAGTAGGGACATCCCTGCTGAGAAAAAAAAACTATAGAAACCATCACAGAAATTCTAATGGTTTCCACTACAAGTACCATTACAAACCATCAACTATCAACCATTAAGAAATGGTTTTCTGTAGTGTGTTTTGGGCCATATTCCATTGGGATTTAGAGGTTTAAACAAGCCACCAATAGAAAGCTACAAATGACCAGTAGAGACCCACAGGGACTGTTACAATTCCCATCATAACCAGTAAAACCATTACAAATTCTGTGATGGTTTCTATTGTTTTTTTTTCAGCAGGGATGTCATAGCGTCTCTACTAAATTCTACGCCCTTGAGAGTTTATAACTCGCAACCTCGTTTTTTTCCTCTCTCTCAAAATTGCACGAAAAAAAGTTCGAACTGTGAGAGAAAACCTTTTTTTTTGTTTTTGTTCTGTGGTGGAAACGGGCTTCCATATGCATCTACCAAGAGTAAAAAGAAATCAGGTTTAAATAATAATTAATTTCTGATCATATCAGGCAGAAGATGTTGTCTGTGAAATCCGTCTATCAGTATCCAGACGCTCAAACCGGAGATGAAGACGCTTTTGCTCGAGAACCGTTCGTCGTGTGGTTTTCGTCTCCAAAAACGGGTGAGATATTTACAGTGTGAAAGGTGAACCTCTTATGAAATTATGCTAAACATGTGTTCGTCTGTCTCACAACAGAAGTCACGGATTTGGTCATCATTCCCATTCACACGGCTCCAGAAGCGGCTGTGAAAGAAATCGACGAACTCTTCGACGTTTATCAGAACGTTTCTCAACTGTGGCCGTCAGACGTAAGCGAAGCGGTTCTCTATCCAGATTCCCAACTCACAAAAAATATGTTTCGATTAGAAATAGAAACGTTATTTCTTAATGTTATCGGAACATTCCAAACGTCCAGTTGTTATAAATTGATTTTTCGCGGTTATCGGATGTTAAAGGAACATTCCATTTTATCATTTCGGAAACATTGTTGTTACTTTTAAATGTTCAATGAACATTCTGAAACAAGTAGTAGCTAATATTAAAAAGAAACAAACATTTCACTAAAACGTTACAAATAAAACGTTCCGTGAATGATGTATAAATAATGTTTTGTGCTATTAACATTATTAAAGACCAGATAACTCTGAACAAACGTTTCATTAATGTTACTGAAAATGTTTGCTCATAACTTTGCCAGAACTTTGTGAGAACGTTCCTTTTTAGCTGGGTTAATGTCTGCTATACTGGGTTATATAATATTCACTGCTTCAACAATCTATTTCACATACTGTATAATAGAGCACACCTGCCAAACAAATTCCTTCTTCTTCATGGTCTTCTGTGCACCTGGTTTCACTCTCAGAGCGTCTCTGGTTTCCTCTGAGTTCCTGTTTCCTCACTCAGTTTTCATCTTGTCTAATTTTGTCAGAACTTCATCATCATGGGGGATTTCAACGCCGCCTGTGGTTACGTTCCAAAGAGACAGTGGGTGAACATCCGTCTGCGCTCGGAAACTGAGTTTGTGTGGCTGACGGGCGACAAGCTGGACACATCGGTGAAGACATCTACCAAATGTGCTTATGACAGGTAGACAGACACACTGCATTTGTTCTATAAATCTGACTTGGCGACTATGATAAGGTCATGAACTGACAACCTTGTTGGTCTTGGAACAACATTCTATTAGCCAGTCAGATTTTATGGTCAGGTTACATTAACATTTATGCATTTAGCATGCACTTTTATCCAAAGAGACTTGTATTGCATTCAAGGTACACATTTTTCCAGTTCATGCTTTCCCTGAGAATCGAACCCATGACCTTGGTGTATATAGCCTTAGTAGGAAGTGTGCTGGAAGTTGTGACAAGTTCATCGAGTTTTACTAGTGTATTATGATTTGCGGATGTATTTGGCACACTTCTTGAGGGTCTAAAGTGAAAGTGTATGACTTTCATCTGATGTTATGAAGGACAAGCGTCCCCTAACGTCTCAATTAATATCATGTGATAACCAGCACATTCCCATTTTCTTGTGCTGCAGGGTGGTCCTCCGTGGAGAGAAGATGATCGAGGCTGTGAATCCTGAATCAGTGGAGGTGTTCAACTTTAAAGAGGAATTTGGCCTCACTGAGCGGGAGGTAAATATAATCTAATGAGATTCTAATCTACTGTTTGGGGTTTGTAAGATTTTTAAAATAAGTCTCTTCTGCTCACCAAGGCTGGATTTATATAATCAAAAATACAGTAAAAACTGTAAAATTGTAAAATATTATTTCAATTTAAAATATGTTTTCTATTTGAATATATTTTAAAATAGAATTTATTTTTGTGATCAAAGCTGAATTTTCAGCATCATTACTCCAATCTTCAGTGTCACATGATCCTTCAGAAATCATTCTAATATGCTGCTTTGTTGCTCAAGAAACATTTCTGATTATCATCAATGTTGAAAACAGTTGTGCTGATTAATATATTTGTGGAAACATCTGGCATTTAATTGAAATAAAAATTTGTAACATTACAAATGTCTTTAAAGCCAGCTTTGATCAATTTAAATCATTGCTGAATAAAAATATAAACTAATTTCCTAAAAACAACATTTTACTGACCCCAGACTTTTGAACGATTGTGTATGTTTATGCCAAAAGTAACAAAAACAGAAATCTCTGAGCTCTGATGCTCCCTAGAAGAAACAATTGATAAATGACAAGATTAAGGGAGACCGGGGCAAGTTGTCACAATTTATATCTCAGTTATGCTTTTTGTTTTCTTGCAGTAGTTTTGTGTGTTGATTTCAAACACCTAGTTTAATCTCTGTTGGCCATAAAGATTTAATATTGTGCTTTTTCATAAATCGTTTAAAGTTGTTAAATGCAGATATTTTGTATAATATGTCTTTAAATAGTTTTTTTTTTCTGTATTTACCAAACAGGTATTATTCACACATCAGTGTCAAACATGCACCACTATAATTAATGTATGTTCAATCAACTGTATCTTTTCTCCTGGGTTAATAACGCTCAATACTTGTAGTTTTTATGACTTAAAAGTTCACTATACATAAACCTGACAAAATATTCATTAGGAGTAAGCTGTGACAACTTGCCCCGGTCAGTAAAGGAAACACTAACAGCTGTGTGTCTGTTCTACAGGCTCTGGCAGTGAGTGATCATTTCCCGCTCTGCATCACTGTAAATCAAGCGCAGACGAAAGGATAACAACCTTCTCCATTTACACTTTTACTGCTCGCCTGCTTCATTAGTCCTACAGATGAGAATGAGAAATAGCTTATAAGAAAATGAACGAGTTCTAACAAAATCTTTAATGCAGAAATCGAGTGTTCAGTGCTTTACTTTTTTTACTGTGTTTTTGTAGAGAAGAGCAGAAATGTTTGATTGAATGATAATGACAAGCTTCCAGTGCTTGTTAATTATGAACCAGCGGTCTGTAGTGTTGGTTTACCGGTTGCTTTGAGACAGTAGAGTTAGTTTGCAAGACTGTTGCCACTGTAACCCATCTACATTTCTCCATTAATTAATTGACATTTGCACGCATGCTTATATGATTTCATTTTAATAAAAGATTTACTCGAGTAAATGACACCGAGTATTAGATTTAAGGTGAATACCATCTGTTCAAGTTCAATGGGGTGAGAAAAACATGCACTGGTGTTTCATCCGAGTTGATCAGTCACTGTGGGAATATTAAAAATGCCATTCCTGGCATAGAAAGTGTTTCTTACAATCCCAGATCTCCCGTAGGCTGGTGTCTTACAGTCAATCTCATAGTCACCTGAAGAAACAAAGCCTGTTTAGTGCTTGACATTTAGACTACATGCAACCATTTTATACTAATACTAATAATATTTGTTTTTATATACACTACCATTCAAAAGTTTGGGGTCAGTAAGATTTATTTTATGAAAGAAATTTATATTTTTATTCAGAAAGGATGCATTAAATTGTTCAAAAGTGGCAGTATAATGTTAAAAAGATTTATATTTTAAATAAATGCTGTTCTTTCAAACTATATTCATCAAACAATCCTGAAAATTAAAATGTATCAAGGTTTCCATAAAAATATGAAATGGCAAAAAATTATCAGAAATGTTTCTTAAGCAGCAAATCAGCATTTTAGAATGATTTCTGAAGACTGGAGTAATGATGCTGAAAATTCAGCTTTGATCACAGAAATAAATTACCATTTATAATATATTACAACAACAGAAAATGTTATTTTAAATTGCAATAATATTTCACAATTGTTACTGTATTTTTGATCAAACAAATGCAACCTTGGTGAGCAGAAGAAACATTACTAAACCCAAACCATAATACAAAAATTGTTCAAATCCTATATATATTCTAATATTACAAAATTAATCCTCACCTAATCTCCATCCATAGTCCCAGGACGACAGAATGGGATAATCAAACTTTTCCTCAGGGTGTTTCTGCGCCCGTTTCCTCGGGTATAAACCTCGTCCTTTGCCTTCGTTGGATAAGCCCTGATACAGAGTCGCTTTAGTCTGCGGGCTCGCGGCTCTCATGAGCGGGGCTTCACTCAGTGACCGGCGCAGCGGCTGCTTCTCCCACGTCTGGACCACAGGAGGCAGCGTGACTTTACCGACAGACGGAGGGTTAAAAAGCCCGATGGATTTGGACCTGCGAGACGCGAAGGTGGTCGGGTATTCTTTGCTGTATTTCATCTTCCAGGCCAGCCGCGTGTAGGCCTCCTTCAGGATCAGCTCGCGGTAGAAGTTCTGGTCTTGCGTGGTGAGCAGGTTCCTCATGTCTGATGTCTCTTAGACAACAGAAACCTATCAGGTGCAGAGCCGACCAATCAGAGAGCAGATCACTCACCAGGTGGAGAGAAGAGAGGCCAGACACACACCATATGACAGAATAACAAAAGAAACCCAGTGCCGCATCTACAGGAATCCGTTTCAGCAGAGAAAAGAGTCAAATACGGAAGACAAGAAAAACGATGGGTACTGGGGGGTCTCAAAAAGTAAAAAAAAAATTTTTTTAAACAAAACACACCGGCATGAGCAGATGAAAAGTCCCTAAAACCAGCAAGCAAATCAGCTTTTTCCAACTTCATTTTAACTTTAGTTTATGTAATTTTGATGAGCTTTTGTCTTTTTTATTGTTAGGTTTTTATTAATTTTTTTTTATTTGTATAGTTTTATTTTTAGTTCAGAAAATTAATAATGTTGCCTTGACAACTAGTTTAAATTCATATAATATTTATATATATTTTCCAGTTCCGAAAATTATTTTTAATAGTTTTAGTTAACACTAACAACACTGGCTATTTTTTTTTCTATCTGGGAATATGAAACTTTGAGTATATTAACGATGATAATTGTTTATATAAATAATGTAAATCATTTTGTCTGAACTAACCCTTTAAGCAGGTGTAATGCTCAGATTTGTCCTGAAGGTGGCAGCAAAACATTTATGAACATTATTCTGAACATTATCAGCCAGTGAGTGACAATGAAAGTTAATAATCCTAAATGACATAAGCTAACTAACTCACATCGACTTCCTCCTGCCTATACAAAGCAAAGGAAATCATGAATAATGAGCAGGACCTTTGGAACTACAAATATGCATGTTTATCTGTTATCCAGGGTCGTTTCTACGGTAACAATAGAACATTCTCAATCAAGGTGGCCAATGCACTTTCTGTTACTGGAATTCTAAACAGTAAACAGAACAGAGTTACTCAGTTAAAGGAACCGTTCACTCAAAAAGACATTTGATCATTTACTACCCCCTCAGAAAATGTTAAAGAAAATTCTGAAAGTTTCACTCTCAATAAATAATGAGAGGCTGTAGCTTCTATATTCTTGAATTCTTTATTCCAGTCAGTTTTAATAAGCAAATGTACATCGAATCTATTCACGTGTTTCACAATAAGGCACCAACGGCTAAATACAAAATACAATTAAATGTCCCCTCTTGCCCTTAAAAGACTTACAAAATACTTCACCACTGGAGTATCAAAACTAGTAGAATTAAGACAAAGAATGTGAAAGACCTGCATAAATCTATTACTGTGACTGTTGTGTATTAGCGTCTTCAAAAAGCCAGAAAATCAGATCTTTTGGTCTTGAGGGATTTGCGAGTCTAAAATCTTGATATATAGAAATTTTTATGTAAACTTCAATATGTTGCAGTGAAACCCATTGAGATTAATACAGAAGTGCTTGATTTGAAGTGATGGATGATGCTTTGATTTATGAGCACAGTTCCGTTTATGCAGCGAGAATCAAACACAGACATGGAAAGGTTATAATATGTGCATTAAAAGTGTCAGTATTGTTAGAAAGAGACGAGCGATTAGAGTCAATATCAGTAGTAAAGAGACGTTTGGGTGTGAAACCCTGATCAGTTTGTTCATACACCGTCTTTTAACTTTTCAACACTCATCTTTAGACGTGCAATGCTGAACTAAATCGAGAAATAGAAGTAATGTACAATTCATGCATCATAACAAAATGCCGTCAACGTTTCCGTCATAATGCATCACATTCCAGTCAAAAACCTGATCAAGTGCAAAGTTCAGCAGAATGAAGAAGGTCTTCTAGTTGTTTTTGTACAGTGTCTTTCTCTCTGTCAGGAGTGTTTCTGATTAACCGCAGGGAATTATGGGACGGTGACTTGGAATGGGGAGCCTGGGATGTGTTCATCTCCCCATTTCACAGCCAGAATGTAGTTGCCCCTCTCCTTTAAGACGTAGCTGATGTTGTACTGCATGTTTCCCGTGTGTTTGACCAGGATCTCCTCGCAGGGCGTCAGAGGACCGTGAACGCCGACCAGGAGCATGTTCTTCCCTGGAAACAAACACAAATACATGGATACAGTAGACAACAAATGGTAAAACTCAATTATGCCCTGTATAAAATGCAGTTCTGGCAATATTGCCATGATAGAGTGTTAATCAATCAATCAATAATTTTTATGATCGTATATTATGTTTTGAGTCGGGATTTAAAATAATTAGAATGATGATAAAATCAATTTTATATTAAATTTATTAAATTAATAGTACAGTAAATAACATGTTTAAATATATTGATATTATAAATAATATAAAACAATAAGAAAAATAATCAGTTTTGCATATGGGGAATAATTCTAATGTTTCATAATTTTATTTACATACATATTTGGCCTGATTTACATGCCTTATTTATTTATTTATGTTACAATCCGTCACTCACATGAGATCACAGCAACAGTAAATCCTGATATAATGGACTTCATACAGAGCGAACATGCCAGTTCAGGCACAAATACAGTTTCATAACTGATGGGGTTTAAGACAGCCTACAGATCTTTGGATTCATATTACTACAGGGCAGCACATAATAATGCTGACCATTACACTGAACCGAACATAACCTTCTTGTATTTTGTGAGCTACTGGAGACTCCACTAGAAAGATTAATGTATTCAATTAAATATCAGCTTAAAAATTAGCTGGTTGTTTTAATTTGTTGTCTTGTCATTCAGTTGTTGTAACGTCAGTTGGACCTTTGTCAACTTCGTCAGTTTTTAACACTTTCAGATGAAGGTTTCTGTTCATTACGAAATAAAGATTTTATTCTTTTTTCAATTTATTGTTTTAAAATAGTAAAACATGAACCGAACTACATGATCATATGTGTATGTTCTCAAAGAACATAGGTTATATATGTTTAATATGAAAAAGGATGGTGGAAAATTAAGAAATTCAGGAATTGGATTGTTCATATTAGAGTGAAAACTGGAAAAAAAAATGTAGAAAATGTAATCACTTCAGCTATATTCCTGAACACCATTATTACATAACTGAAGACTTCACACTGTTATTTAGTGGATCAAATTAAAATATCATGCTTTTTAATGCGTCTAAAAGAGGTGACACAAATTAAGTTATGAAGTGAATAAATGTAGATTTTTAGAAAAAAACATTTTCAGAAAAACCTGTCCCCTTATATTTGTAGTGAGGTCTCAGCTAATGAACCATATATCAATTTATAAACAATGTGTCATTAAATAATAAAAACTCACATTTTAAAACATGTTTTGTCCCTTATCTGTAGAATCAGTGAAATAAATGTTTTATATAAATTTATATAAAATTAAAAATAATAATAAAACATTGTATTATTATAATTATTATTAATAATAATAATAATCATCATAATGTATTATATAGTGCAATTTAATAAAATGACC